TTCAATTATGATTTAACGATTTCCAATAATTCCATTTAATTTTCCCATATTTAAAAGCAAGAATCCTAATATATTCCTCTCCCTTCTCTCGAGTGCCGGCTAAAAAATAATCCTAGATTCCAATTCCAATATCTCCATTCCGAATTGAAAATTAAGAATTTATAAAAATCCCGATTCTTTTATGGAGTAAGCTTCACAGATTCTACACTTTCTCTCGAAACTCATGAAACCTATGTTGTGTCAATCTTATGATCACGCCTAAATTTCCCTCTCTCAAGTGCCGGAATTGACTAGCATCTATTCATTCAATTATTGAACAAGTAATTGAAAGCATTAAAATCATTACACAATTAAATATATGTGGGAAAATCAAAGAAATAACTATAAAATCATCAAACCATACTCGATTCGGCTACATCAAACCCCTAGATAATTTATTTAGTTCACGATATAATAAATGAAAATCATACAAATTATAATAAACAACATAAGGAAAAGGATAGAAAAAATTAGTCTTTTGGGTAGATCTTCAATATTTTTCCTTGATATTGTTCCTCCTTTCTTTTAATGTCTTCAATTTTTGCCTCCTTCCAATTGTGTAGTTGAATTCTTCAATCTTGCCCCCTTCCATCCCTCCTGAAAATAGGGTTTTTAAATGGTATTTGTAGTATGTTGGGGTTATTGGACGAATTAGGGTTGAGTTGGGCCAAGAAGAGATTCCAAAAATATAAAATCCCGTTTTTCCGCATAGGCGGTGCCACGTTCACTGTTGTTTTCAGCATCTTGGGCGACACAACGTCCAATATGGGCGCCATGGCGACAGTATTTTTGCCATAACTTCTTCATCCGATGTCCGATTGAGATGATTCAAGATGCGTTGGAAAGGTAACTCCAAGGGCTATAATGTTTCTTCAAACATCATTTCCCAATTCAATCGTTTTCTATGTCAGAAATAGGTCTCAATGTGAGACCAAAACTCCGGTGCGTAACTTTTCGGTTGGAAAATGATTTGTGATCATATTTTGACTAAATTTGATCCCTTTGACACCTTCCTTCATCGAATTGACTCCTAGCACTCTCGGATCTTCATCGTGAGTTTCAACATGACTTTTGATTAATTACATTTTAATCCTCGAACTTTGGATCTCTTACATTTTGGTCATTTCATCCAATTTCGCTAACTTTTGCCTATTTCCTTCCTTTGACCTCTTTTAGCTCTTGTTTTCTCTACTTCCATCAATCTACAAAACAACACTAAAATCACTTGTTAGCACTTCTAAAATACTCTCCAAAATAGCAAAATCATAAAATTAATGGCATAATATAATGAGTGTGAATCACTCATCAATGTGCAACACAAAAAATCTTAGCAACTTCACTTTACTGGAAAGACAATTGAATATACATGGAAATGACAATTGAATCTACATGGAAATGAGCTATTGCAAATCATGTAGTTCAGAAACATAGACACGGTCTGAGTGGTTTACTAGGTTTAGATCAGCATGTAAATCTTTTGTTTCTTTTCTATTATGTATTCCAATGCTTGAATATTGGTCTTATTAACGAACCATCTATTTGAAAAGTCAGTCTAGATCTTGGAGCAAGAACGTGGGCAATATGACTTGCAACATCAGGCTAAGGGACCGGCTGGGTTGCACTTGACATCCAACCAGGTATGACACTTTAAGCGGGTGACATCAGTCCTTGGAGTGGCTGTAATAAGAATCATTTCAAAATTGTCACTAATTTAAAAAGAAATGCACAAAAAGTTTAACTGGTATAACTTATGCCATTAAACCCCAAATGAAATACACCTATTACAGGAGCCATTGCACTACCCACTGTGAAAAGTTACATATCAATGGAATTGGGAAAAAAATGAAAAAACCAAACCATGTAAACTAGGTACCAGTAAAACCATATGATTACCTCCATAATTGAGAACAACAATCGATGTTGACGGAGCAATGAAATTTGAAGCTATGAAGGGTTGTGCAATTGCATTAATTTCCCTATCATCCTACATGAAATCAAAACGTAATTACAAACTAGTCCCACAGAATGTCAAAAAACATAAATATTTACTTACCATTATGACTTGTGAACCTGAAAGTGGTGTTGATATGTAATGTTCTGCATTCAGTGCAATATCATGTTGGAGATTGCTCTTTCTCAATCTCGGTCTCTACACTTTGGTTGAAGGTGAGGTTGCCTGCATGACATACAAAATTACAATATTTCAATTGTTATGTTCGTTTCAATACATAGATGACATGAGATGACAAGAATATAATACCTTTGATTTTTCAGAACCCAACTCCAACGGGCTTTTAGTGCGAAGTTTTCGGGGAGCGCCCTTTCTTTTCGAGCATTTCGAATCTCGCATACTTCAACTGACTGTGTCTAATAACGCTCTAGACTGCGATCCCAAATGCAAATTAGGTAGCAAAATGCTAGTGCCTCCAGAAATCAACTTCGTAGACACGGTCTTGGTACATTGCAACCAAATCCAATCTATTACCGCATGGGTTCGCTCTTCATCATCTACAACAATATCTGCCAATGTAGCAAATTATTTGCACATTCTATCATACCTCAACTGGCTTGGAGTACTAACCAAGCCATCATAGTTCATTGTGACCCTCGTGTGGGCTTTACAAATATCTTTCCTCCATTTTTTCAATATGTACCTTTTCGGCACTGATTTGACGCCATTACGCATCAACATTGATATGACATGTCTGCATAGAATTCCCCGAAACTCGAACAGATGACAACTAAAAGTAATATCGACCTCCTCTGCACGAAACAACAACAAAATCTTTTTCATCCTCGCCTTTTCTTCGTAAATTACATCCTCTTTGACCTCGTATGTCTTTCCCGAACATCCATCCGATGTAGATATGACGTCGCAGGGCATCCTTCCAGTTATCTCGTCTTGAAATTCCCAAAACTTAGATATCGTATAAACTGTCTGAAATTGCTTTTTCATTTCATATTTGGTTGCACACGGCACCATTTTCGAGTAAAACTTAAACTCTGCTTGGAACTCTTTTTCAACTTTATTTCGCAATGCTCATTCATATTGTTTTACGAATTGTTTCAACGATATCTTGGAATGAACATACCCATCAAAGAACGCATTCATACGCTCACTGTGTTGAGTAGTTGACATCCCTGCCCAAAAGGTTGTTTTCAAATAACACGGCACCCATCGACCCCTATTGTCATACAACCCCAACAACCACTCATTATCATATAAGTTATATGTGTCAACCATCAATCTCCAACCTTTCTCAAATTCTCCAGCAAAATGTTAGTCATAAACTAAGCCATGTATGCATGAAAATATTTGTTTCTTATCCTCGTGATAACCAAATTTTTTAGGCAACTTCTTCAATATATGCCATAAACACCATCTATGTCTCATGTTCGAAAAAACTATCTAAATTGCATTTTACATTACCCTGTCTTGATTGGTAATAATTCCGTTAGGAGCTTGACCATGCATGCACAGCATCCATGTCCTAAACAACCACACAAAGGTATCTGTATCCTCATTAGATAGCAACTACATCTAAGCATCGTTGATTGTCCGTGATGATTTACTCCAACAAATGGGGCAAGGGGCATGTCATATTTATTAGTGAGGTAAGTGATGTCAAACGACACTACGTCCCCGAACTCCTTATACGCTTGCCTACACCTTTTGTCCATCCAGAAAATATTCTTAAGTCGTGACTCGTCGTCTAAATCTATAAAAAAATAAAACCCAGAACAAGATGCTTGCATTCGAGAAAAGTAGGATTGTATTGCCGCGGCATCTCCTTCACCTATTTTTAATCGCCTCACTTGTTCAACGTAATTTCTACAATCCTTTTCTATGAACGTCATAATCTCGTAGCCACCGGCTTCAACAACTGTAGAGTTGTAACTCTTATGCAAAGGAATTTCGGCTGTGTCATTCACCTCTAGCTTTCATTTCACATGTGCAGTCAATTCTCGATAGCATCGATACAACCTAGATTTCAACGGACTTGTTTTACGATTGTGCTCAAGTTCGACCGTGCAAATTTTCCATACTCCAAGAATATCTACAGAAGCAATTAGCTTTGCTTTGCAACCCATTTGAATTGTTGGTTATGGCCTTAAAGAAGTGCTTGTGTTATAGTTTCTTCGTCCTTTATGACTACAAGTCAACGTAACATATCTTACTATTCCATCCTCACCATTCCTAGAATTCCTTCTTCTCACCGGAAAACCAACGTCGTATGTATATTTCTTGTAAAATTCATACAGTTCATTCTCATCATTGAATTTCATACCGACCTTAGGAACATTTGCAACATCTCCTCCTAAATTGTCACCTCCCAGCGTGATTACATTGTCCAACGAGTTCTCATTATTGGATTCTACCAATACTTCGTCGTCCACCACATCCACTATTTCTTTTCCTACGGCAAAATGAGTGGGAATATATTAGTGTTATAACAATATAAAAAAACAACTACCCTAACTATGTTCATAATTAGATGATTTCAATATACTAGAATTGAAATAACACGTTACCCAATAGTGAATATCGAATTCGTACGCAAGCAATTATGCATATTCAAACTACAATTTCAGCAGCGTTTGGATTTTACCTTTCTCAGTCATTTCTTCCACCTCCATCACAATGCGAACGCTCTGTAATTAGGGTACAGACCTTTGGGTAGTGAAGAAGATCAAATTACTTTTCCGAATTATATGTCAAAAGGGATTTGATGCTGAAATAAAAATAGTAGTTTTATTTATTTCTCCAATGTATGGTCAAAAGCATTTTAGATTGACTATACAGGAATAATATACAGACGAGCATGCTTCTACAGTAAATATGATGGCATATTGGTAGGCTATTTTTTATTGGAACGAAATGCTAATGGAATGCAAATAATTTTCAAACGCAGCAAGATTGGTATTCATATATGAAAATCATTTTACCTTCCTCAAATAACCCACTACAAGACTGCAAGTGGTCGGCACGCAGATTGAAGAAAACACCAGAAACTGTCCACTACGACACCACACTTCGTGGTATTTTTATGCTTGGTACTGCATTGTGGAAGTAAAACTACGATCAGGCGACGAGGGGGAAGAGGACCAAAATCTCAACGTTAGTGCCGCCAAAATAAAAGAAAAATTTCCTCCCGGGTCGCTTATGGCGGGACTGATTTGGGGATAAATGAAAGGGAAAAGGAAATAGGTCAGTGCATGGGTTGACCAGGAAATGGGTCGGGTTAGTGAAATAAAAAATACTTAATTGATAGTGCATATTCAGCCTATTCTTTATGAGAATAGTCAAAGAAATCAAGCACCACCTCTGCAATTTTAAAATGCTGTCAAAATTGTGTGCACAATTGCTATAGGTAAAGCTTTATTCAACATCAATATATAAATGTAAAAGCAAATACTTTTGAATTTGAAACTTTCCCAATTCTCTTTTTTGTCCTGATATTCCTTCTTGATTGGGTTGATCATTCCCCGCACCGTAAGTAACAAAGTAATCTATTTGTCATATAAGAAGAAAGTTAGGCACCACCGCTAAGTTTCCCACTAACCCCGACTTTGTTCAACCGTTCCCACCAAATGATTCTTCTGAATATCGCACATATAAATAAAAAGACCCACAAAAGGGAATTTAAGCTGGGATTATTGAGCTTTTGATGGTGAAGTTGTAACTGGGAGTGAAGGAGAAATCGATAAAATTTATATGGAAGGGGTTTCTCATGTTGAGAACAGAGTATACGTGGCTGTGGGCAAGAATGTTAAAGAGGGAAAATCGTTGTTGTCGTGGGCAGTGAAGAGGTTCAAGGGCTGGAGTGTGTGTCTTCTGCATGTTCATCAGGCCACGCATCTAGTTTCAATCTGTAAGCTCGTTACTGATTCATTTCAAGACAGATATGTATGTGTATACCAATTGGTTTGAGTTCTGGATATTTTTCTTAATTCATTACTGTTGTTGGAATTAATTTATCACTAGTTTCTGTTTCTTTTTTCCCCTAAAATTGATAACGGATATGAGGGCTTGCTTCCTGGGTCTTCGTGGGTATTTGTAGTGATTTAATTGCCTCCCATGTCACAGAGTTAAGGCCGTCTCCACGTATCTAGATATTAGGACCGTGGATATCTATTTAATGACTTCACTCGCCTCCAATGTCACTGAGTCAAGGCCATCTCCTTCGTATTAATTTATTTTCATTTATAGGAATCTTAACCTCCTCTATCGCTTCTTAGTGGAGCCTATAGAAAACATTGGGCTGTGATGATGCTTTATTGAAAAAAATGTGGGATTGGCTCATCCTTGTAATACAAAAAGAAAGCACAGACCTGAGCTCAAATTACAAATGTTAATGAATTCTATATTCTCAAATGAACTTGTGTGGGCTTACAAATCATTGTAAGATTGAGTTATACTAGCTGTAAAGATTGACGTCCACCCTTCTTGACCCTTGTTGTGGATACAGCAACCCGAGAATATGACTTCTTGAAGTCATCTAACTTGGAATATGGGCCATTGTAGATGTCCATTTTGAAAGGATCGATGGGCTGTAAAACCTTAATTGCATCCCCCATTGCCAACATAAAGCCTGAATTACAAGCTTATAACCACCTGGTTATTCTCCTTTTACAAAGCAGTTTTAAGGGTTCTACCCAACATGGTTGTGACAGTGTCATGCTTTCAGATTTATTTTTTATTAGGAATTCTTTTTAATGTGTATTGGGTACTTTTTTTAAAAAATTCATTAGTGGGATCAACTAACCAGAAATAATCGTGAAAGGGTGATTTCTTTCGTCACGTATATGAATGGCAGGGTTAAATGTTGTCCTCCAATTCTTTCATTGATTTATGCTGCTCTTTGGATCTGTTAATATTAATTGATATATGTAGTATTCACTTCAGCATCTAGACATAAGATTTACTCTAGATTTAGATGTTGTGCCTTATACATATGTAATTTGGGCTATGATTCACGATGATATGAACTGTTAGATAATGTTGATTTTTGTTATCTTGGTGAGATTGCTGAAATCCTAATGCTACCTGACTCATGCATTCCAAGAGGCCATCATGATGGCTATGCTATCCAAAGATAGAATGGTGCTCAGAGTATAATTCTACTCTTTGAAATCCCTCCCCTTTCTGTTAGTTTGTTATGCTGTGTGATGTAACAGGTCTAAGTGAACCAATATCTTTTTCATAAAGAAGCCTACTAAATAATTATATTTTCCTTTCCCATGTGATCTCTTGAAGTGCTAACTTGGCGTGGATTTGGAATATTTTTTGCATTGGAGATCATTGATGTTTTATTGTGACTAACATTCTATAAAGAAATTAGATAGCTTTTCACAGAATGAATATTTCAGAGAGCTTTCTCGTTTTTCTTTCCCTCTGGTTGCATTGAAACAAATGTTTATCCAGCATTTTATTGTCTGTCTCTTTATTTCTTCTTTTGGTATGTACCTATTTTATTCCATTTTGTTTTATTACACAGGGATCAGAAGTGTTTGTTTCAGTTTTGAGTTGACTTAACCTTTTACTTCCTCATATGTTTCCAGTGGACCAGAAGCTCTCATCAAACAAATTTAAACGACATGCTATTAAGGCATTCCAGGAACTTGAACTGCGAAAGATGCACAAACTTCTGAATGAGTACATTCTCTTTGTTTCCCAGATGGGGGTACTATTTTCTTTCTGCGTCCTCTTGCACTCTGTGACAGTTGAATTGCATCAAGATATATATAATTGAATGAGATATTGATAGCTATTATTTTGTGAACAACTTTAGATTGTCAATTTTTTGCCATGACTATCAAATAAAGTCATGACACCTAAAAATGAATTTTCAAAATTGTTCTGAAGCAGTTTGCTACAGTTGTTTTAAAAGATTGATTACCTTATACTTCTGCAGGTGCAGGCTGATAACACGTGGATTGAAATGAGCAATATTGGGAAAGGGATTCTGCAACTTATTGTTCAACATGGAATAAAATGGCTCATCATGGGAGCTGGGGCAGAAACACTGAGGGCCAAACAACGGTTAATTTCTGTCACTATGATGCATTGATAGATGACTATGTTATAGATCAGATTTTGGACACAGCTGTCCTGTTGGTATCAAGTTGGAAACTCTGAATGATATGATGTGTTTTAGCCACTCCTATTTCCTTACATGTTTTCAGACAGACAATTTGTCAAATGATAGGATAACATGGTAGAAGAACTCACTAATAACTGGCTACAGCAATTTGAATGATAATGAATCGAATAATATCCGCAAATTGATACTGGTGGTATGTGTTTTCATTCCCTACTCTTCTTATTTGAATTCTCTGAGAATGTAGAGTTGCTTTATATGACAAAATAAATGATAGTTGCTACAAAATAAATCAGAATGGAATTTCGAAGTTGGTCATTTTGAGTTAAAAAGTTGAAGATTTTATTAGTAGCATTTATACTTGTGCTGCATCTTTTCCTCAGACCTGAGTTAACCAATATATCTCATGTCATGAAGATTACTTGGTGGACCAGCTTAAAAATTATATAAAGCCATTTGTACGTGGCTGATTTATCTATTTGAAGTTCTTCTCTGTGCTTATTGCAGTTAATTGATGACTTTATTTACTAATATGAGCTCATCTAGATTGCAGCAAATTGTCAGAGATCAAGTCCAATAAAGCTATTCTTGTATGTGAACAAGCTCCTGTACCCTGCAATATTTGGTTTATTTGCAACAGTTGCCTTGTATACGCAAGGTGTGTTAACATGATATCTTGGGTACAATCTATTTTTTGGATGCATATAGCAATTAAGAAGCCTCTGAATGGATTGAAAGGAAAAGGACTCTTTTAGGTAGAAGATATTGGAGAGAAGATAAGTCCAAATTTTTACTTCTCTTCCTTCCTAGGATGCATTTCTGTACTGTCATGATATATTAAAGCCCAACTTGTCGACACTTAACAATGCACTGTAGTTGACCATCAAACTAACATATGTCCAGTTTTAGCATTTTGATGATTATGTTCCGATCTACGTTTTTTGAACTTGTGACTAGATTTTTTCTGCAGCGAGGGCATGGTGGGTACTCCCACTGTGTACTGAGAGGAATGAATAAACAACTGCAATCCAATCTGAACTACTTTATGTTCTTTCATGAAGTGAGAATCATTTAGGAAATCAAAAAGGCCTTCATCAACACATTTTTGTAAAGCCCAAAGTGTTATAGAAAGTTTCTTATATTCAGCTGATGTGTTTATAATAGGTTAGGTGATAATTGTTGATTAAAGAACACATCATGGTTTACTAACAGACTCCATTTTCCATTTTTCTGGCTAGGACTGTGGACTTTGTTTCTTGTTTAGCAACTACCCTGGCATTGCCTTCTCCAATAAATAATGGAGAAACAATATTAGTACACGATTGGGAAGATAATACAGAAGATGATGCTGGCAGTGTTCAGTCTTTAAAGCATTCAACTAGGTCAATGGAAAAGGCAGTTGACACTTCAAATTCAACCATTCCAATGATAGATTGGATAAGTGGAGATGATTCACCTTTATTCTTACAAGCCAGCTCTCCTGAACATTTCCCATGCTCATCATCTATTCCTTTGCTGGTATGCTTGATGTTTATTTATGGAGAATCGTTTAGACCACCTGGGAAGAATTCTCTCTAGTCTTGAAATTTGACATCTTTTGTATAATGCATGTTCCATTG